TGAGTATATGTACCACATCTTCTTTATCCAGTCCTTTATCATAGGGCACTTTGGCTGTTTCCAACTCTTGGCCACCGTGAATAATGCTGCAATGAACATAGGGGTTCGTATGTCTTTGCGTATAAATGCTTTCGAGTTTTTTAGGAGTGGGATTATTGGGTCGTATGGTAGCTCTATTTTTAAATTTTTGAGGAATCACCAGACTGCTTTCCACAGTGATTGTACCAGTCTACTTTCCCACCATCAGTGAATGAGGGTTCTCTTTTCTCCACAACCTCTCCAACACTTGTTATTGCTTGTCTTGTTGATAATGGCCACTCTAATTGGTGTAAGGTGGTATCTCATTGTAGTTTTAATTTGCATTTCCCTGATTGCCAGTGAGGTTAAACATCTTTTCATATATCTATTGGCTTTTTGTATGTCTTCTTGGGAGAGGTGTATTTTCAAGTCCTTTTTTTGATTGGATTGTTTATTTGTTTGGTGTTGAGTTTTATGAGTTCTTTATATATTTTGGAAATTAAATCTTTGTTGGAGCTACTGTTTGCAAATACCATCTCCCATCTGGTTGGCTGCCTGTTTATTTTATTGTCCATTTCTTTTGCTGTGCAGAAGCTTTTTGTTTGTTATAGTCCCATTCATTTATTTTTGCCTTTACCTCCCTTGCCTTTGGGGTCAAGTCCATAAAATGTTCTCTACCACCCAGGTTCATAAGTTTGGTACCTATATTTTTTCTATGTGACCTACAGCTTTGGGTCTTATGTCTAAGTCTTTGATCCATTTTGAATTAATTTTTGTACATGGGGACAAACTGCAATCCAGTTTTATTCCTTTGCATGTGGTTTTCCACTTTCCCCAGCACCATTTACTGAAGAGACTATATTTACTCCAATGTGCATTTCTGGTTCCTTTGTCAAAAGTGGTTGCCCTAGCCAGTTTGGCTCGGTGGATAGAGCATCGGCCTGCGGACTGAAGGGTCCCAGGTTCGATTCTGGTCAAGGGTATGTACCTTGGTTGCGGGCACATCCCCAGTAGGAGGTGTGCAAGGAGCCAGCTGATCAATGTTTCTCTCTCATCGATGTTTCTAACTCTCTATCTCTCTCCCTTCCTCTCTGTAAAAAATCAATAAAATATATTTTTTTAAAAAGTTGTCTATCCATATATATGTGTGGTTTTATAGATGGGCTCTCTATTCTGTTCCATTGATCTGTGTGTCTGTTTCTCTGCCAATGCCATGCTGTTTTGATTATCATAGCTCTGTAGTATATTTTGAAGTCAGGTAGCGTGATACCTCCAGCCTTGTTCTTTTTTTTTTTTTTTTTTTCCAGGATTGCTTTGGCTATTCTGGGTCTTTTGTGGTTCCATACAAATCTGATGATTTCTTGTTCTATTTCTTTAAAAAATTACATTGGGATTTTGATGGGGATTGCATTACATCTGTGTATTGCTTTGGGTAAAATGGCCATTTTAACTATGTTGATTCTTCCAATCCATGAACATGGGATATTTTTCCATTTCATTGTGTCTTTTTCAATCTCTTTTAATAATGTTTTATAATTTTCAGTATATAGGTCTTTCACATTCTTTGTTAAGTTTATTCCTAGGTATTTTATTCTTTTGGTTGCAATTGAAAAAGGAATTGTTTTCTTCATTCCTTTTTCTGAAGTTTTGTTGTTGGTATACAGGAAGGAAATGGATTCTTGCACATTGATTTTGTATCCTGCAACTTGACTGTATTTTTTATTGTTTCCAGTAGTTTTTTGGTAGAGTCTTTAGGGTTTTCTATATACAGCATCATGTCATCCGCAAAAAGTGACACTTTGACTTCTTCCTTCCCTATTTGGATGCCTTTTATTTCTTTCTCTTGCCTTATTGCTCTGGCTAGTACTTCTAGTACTATGTTGAATAAGAGTGGTGAGAGAGTACATCCTTGTCTTGTTCCTGATCTTAGGGAAAAAGCTTTCAGTTTTTCACCATTGAGTATGATATTGGCTGAGGGTTTGTCATATACTAGAGGCCTCGGCCCCCACCGCTGTAGCTTCTTCTGAAGTACATCTGGAAGGACGTCTGGTCTAATTAGCATATTACGCTTTTATTATTATAGATGACCTTTATTAAGTTGAGGTACTTTCCTTTTATTCCTATTTTATTGAGATTTTAATCATAAATGGATGTTGTATCTTAGCAAATGCTTTTTCTGCATCTATTGACAAGATCATATAATTTTTATCCTTTCTTTTGTTAATGTGGTGTATTGCGTTGATTGATTTGGGAATGTTGAACCACCCTTGTGCCCCTGAAATGAATCCCACTTGATCATGATATATTATTTTTTGGATGTACTGTTGTATTTGATTAGCTAGTATTTTGGTTAGGATTTTTGCATGTGTATTCATCAGGAATATTGGTCTGTAGGTTTTTTGTTTTTTTGTGTGTTATCTTTGCCAGGTTTTCTGCCATGGAATTTTAAGAGACTTCATAAGAATTAAAATGCTGCACATAATTTATTTTAGCTTCTGGCTTTTCTTTCCAGGAGTTAAATCAGTGCAACTTCTTTCTGTGTTTGTTTCAAGATGGTTACAACCCTCGATTTTCAGAGAGACTTCGCCCAGCTCTCTTACTGGAGATTAAGAGGTTACCACCTCTTTTACAGGCAGGAAGATAGGAGAAAGCAGGTGTTTGGTAACTGCTAGCATAAACCAAGTCAACAGTGGATTACTCCTGGGTATTTGGCCCAAGCAACTGAATAAATGGCAATGCTATTAACTGAGATGGAAGTAGAAGGATCAGGTTTGTGCATGGGAGTGAGAAATGATGCAAGAGTTCTGTTTTAGATGTTTTAAGTTTGAGTCATGTTTAAGACCCCCAAGTGGAGACGCCAAATAGGATTGATGAGTCTGGGGGTACAGGGAGAAGGCAATTATATCATTGAGGAGATTGTGTCACTCTCCTACTTAAAACCCTCCAGTGGCTTCCAAATGAATTTAGAATTAAAAGCAGACTCCTTCCCATGATCAATAGATCAGGACCTAGCAGGGGCAGCAATCTGAGCTCAGCAAAGCAATCTCACTTCCATCTCCCTCATTCACCAGGCTCACTGTCACCCCTGTGTTCCTTTTCCCTGGAATGCTCTTTCCCAGATCTCTGCACAGCCACTTCCTTTCAACACTCAGGTGTCAGCCCAGGTGTTACTTTCCTGACGACCCCCATCACTCACTCAATCACTGCCAATCCCATTACCCTGTTATATTTCCCCATAACATTATCACCAATGGAAAGTGTCTTATTGTTATCACTGCAAAATAACCCCCTAGCACTACTTGGAAAAAATGTGTATCATTCTATCATTTAAGGTCAGGGTTAAAACAAGTTTATTAGTTCAGTTGGACAGTTCTTGATTGAGTCTCTCCTACTATTGCAGTTAAATAGCAGCTGGGGTTGACATCATCCGGAGACGTTGCTGGGGTAGATGTCCAACACTCTTTCCTCCTATGCCTGGTGCTCCCCCAGGGGCCTCTCTCTCCAGCAAAGTAGCCTGGACCTCCTGAGTGGCGGGCAGCGCAAGCCTCCAAAAGGAAAGCAGTGGAAACTGCTGGTCCTCTCATAGGCTAGGTGTGCAACTGGCAGAGGTCCCCTGCTGTCAGATTCAGGTGCTCAGTCACAAGCCATCCCAGGTTCAAGGGAACTGAAGAATAAATTATACCTATTGAAGGGGAAGTTACGTGTGTGTAAAAGAAGGAAAGGAATTGATGGTGGCCATCTTTGGCAATAAGGTATCATATTTGTTTGTTTACTTGTTAATTGTCCATCTACTCCCATCTATAATAGTAAAAGCATAATATGCTAATTAGACCAGATGTCCTTCCAGACGAAGCCGGGGCTGCGAGGGAAGCTTGGTTTCCGGGTGCCAGAGGGAAGCCGGTGCCAGCAGCCGGGAGAAGGAAGGCCTACTCTTGCATTAGGCCTCTAATTAGGTCATAAGCTCCACAACAGGGACTTTGTTTGTCTTGTTTGATGGTTATATTTCCAGCACCTAGAAGAATGCTTGACACATAGTAGTAGCTCAGTAAATAAATTAAACACTTGATAAATGTTCAGGAAACTAACATAGACTGAAATAGACTTCCCCAGATTGGTTTTGTCAGGTTGGCTGATGTTAAGCATGCTGATGTCTCACCAGATAAGAGAAACCCTACATTTATAAAGCATTTCATTTCTTTTGAAAACAAGAAAAACTTACCCTGAACACAAAATCTAGAAATAAACTTGGCCTGTTTTCCAAACGGAAAATATTTCTTGTACCACCAGAAATTATTTTCCCACAGCTTGTGCTACATCAAAATATTGAAGTTGACTGAAAATATCCTATTCTTTAAAGTTGGTAAAGGAAATATAAAAACCTCCTGCTATTTGAACTCTGCCAGAGATTCCCAAACTGAAAATGTCATTATAAATTAAGATAGATTTTAAAAATATAGATGATGACTGAGAAATGTCATCAATGTCGCTCAATTGGTAGGAGCGTCATACTGTACATCAAAAGGTTGTGAGTTTGATCCTTGGTGGGGACATGTGTGGGAGGCAACTGATCTCTCTCTCTCTCGCTCTCTCTCTCTCTCTCTCTCTCTCTCTCCCTTCTTCTCTCTAAAAATCAATTTTAAAAAATTTTGTGCATCAAACTTATGTACAGTTTTTGGTTACAAAGCCAGCCCTTGTTGCATATAAGCATAACCAATGGACACAGACCCCAGGGGGGGGAGGGTATGACCCGGGGGGGGGGGCAATGGGGGGATAAGGACAAATATGTAATACCTTAATAAAAAAAAAGCTAGCACTTGTTTACTGAAGTAATTACATATGACCAAAGCAGAAAATAA